ACAGTTACAATAATTAATACATTGCATATTGTTGTCTTTGTAGTATTCATAGTACATAAAATATACACATATGTATATATATGAAATGACAGGCTGTTTTCCAAAGTTGATATAATGGTTGCATTCTCAGTACTAATATCCAGCATGTTTAAATTGGTTGATATAGTATAAACACTCAATAATATCACTATTTTTATTTTAGTTTTCTTGCCAGTATTTTGTTTTTTAATAAGTAATGATGATGAACAATTTTCTGTGTGTTTATTTACCATCAGTATAAAATCTTTAGTAAAACATCTGGTAATGTACTTCACCAAATTTTTAATGAGTTACTTTTTCTGTATTGCTTACTTTTAAGAATACTTTGTATGTTCTTTTTACACGTCTTTTGTCAGATATGTTCTTTTATCCCAATCTACAAATGTGCATTGTATTTTCTTTTTTAAAAATATACCTTTATTGAGAAAGAAGTAGAAATAAGATAGTTTCAAAACAGGTTAGTAGTACAGTTACAATAATTAATACATTGCATATTGTTGTCTTTGTAGTATTCATAGTACAAGATGCAGACATGATATCTTGACTAAACACTGTTAGCTCAAAACTTTCTTCTCATTGAACTAAGAGAATGTAGCTGTATATCTGTGCATTTTCTTACCATTGCCATTGAAAAGCATAAGCTTTTAACTTTGTTGAAATCCAGTTTAGTCACTCCTTAATGTTTCATGATATTGAACTATTCAGAAATCTTTAGCTAACTCAATGTCACAGTGATATCTTCCTGTGTTTTTTTATATAAGTTGTATAATTTTATTTTACATATTTACACTTTTGATCTCTTGTGTTTTTTATATGGTACAAAATAAGGGTCAAAACTGATTTGTTTCCATATAGATCTCCAATTTTCCAGCATTATTTCGTTAAAATGGTTATCACACTCCCCTAGATTGCATTACCTGGATTCCTTTGGCAATAATCATTTGACCCATATGAGTCTATTTTTATAGACACTATTCTTCTAGTGATCTATATAACTATTCTTTTTTTTTTTTTTTGTAGCACAAGGGATGGAACTCAGGCAAGCACTTATTTTACTGAGCTATCTCCGTGGCCCCTAACTATTTTTTTTAATGTATTTGGTACAGGGTCTCACTGGGCAGCTTGGACTCATAGTAATCCTCCTGTTTTCCCTCCCCAGTACTGGGATTATAGTTGTGCGCCACCACGCCAGGACTCTGTGGCTGGCTTAATGTGCCCCAGGGTGGAGCCAGCATGGCGTGTGGTGCCCGGAGCAAGCCCTATTCCCTGTGCTTGGCCAAAGCAGGTGCTTAGTCCACTGAGCTATCTCACTGGCCCCTATGTAACTATTCTTATGCTAATACCACATTGTCTTGGTTAATGTAATTCCATAGCAAATATTGAAATCAGGTATTTCACTTCTTCCAATATTATTCTGTTTTAAAAGTCATAGCTGTTTTTGGTAATTTTATTACTATATAAGTTTAAGAATCAGCTTGCCAAGTTCTACCATAAAACAAGCAAAAACTCTGCTAGTGCATTGACTGAGATTGCATTAAATCTGTACAAAACCAGCTACCTATTTATATACATAGTCTTAATTTCTTCCAGGATTATTTTCCAGCTTTCTTCATGTATTTATCATTTTATTTTTTAAATGTATTTAAAAATATTTTACAGCACAACTTATACCACCATGTATTGATAAATGAATGTATATGATTATTACAGTTAAGTAAACTAATACATCCATCATCTCACATATTTAGCTTTTCCTGTGGTGTGGTAAGATTATTTAAAATGTACTACAGTACACAATATAATATTACAACACAAAAATGTACTCCAATATACAATATAATATTAATAATTGTAGTTCTTGCAATAGGCATTGTATATCTATTCAGCCTAAATAGGTACATTTTGACCTACATTTTCTCATTTCCTCCTTTCCCTCAACCTTCTCACCCTGAGTATTCATAGTTCTACTCTGTCTCCATGCTTACAGTTTTTTCTTTAAATTCCATATTTAAATGAGATTGTGAAACATTTTCCTTCTGTGCCCAGATTATTCAATTTAGTTTAATATTCTCTAAACTCGTTCATATTATTGCTGTATTCCACTGTGCATGTATTAGTGTATGTTATGTGTGTGTGTATGTGTGTGTTGATTAAGAGGTATATATGTACACATACATACATCACGTTTTTTTTTCCATTCATCTATCAACAGACACTTCCCTTGGCTACTGTGAATAATGGTGCCCTGAATATTGGAATACAGACAACCTTGTTATATAACGAAGTGATTCCATTTCATTTGCATATATACGAAAATGAGATTGCGGTGTCATTTGGCAGTTCTATTTTTAATTTTTCTAGGAACTTCCTAAAGGTACTGTCTTCTATAGTGCCTGATTTATA